CACACACACACACACACACATATATATATATATATATATATATATATATATATATGTGTGTGTGTGTGTGTGTGCGCCCGCGCGCGCACGTGTGTGTGTATAATGTAGCATGTGTATATGTGTGTTATGTATATGTTCTCTTGAGAGCAAGTAACAGAATTTCATTTTTAATGTGGGCCAGTGTGCTCACAGTAAAAAATATATATGATAATAACAGTTATCTTATCTAAATATGTCTTCAAAACATTCCAAAACATACCTCTAAAAGATGATGGAATAAAACAATTCTGTTTTACAGCTGAACTTTGTCCTGTTCCTGAATACTGTGAGGGTTCTGGCCACAAAAATTTGGGAAACTAATGCTGTTGGCTACGATGTCAGAAAGCAATACAGGTATGATGTATTCCCGGAAGCAGTCTCTACTAGAACTGATTTGATCAGATACGATGGTTTTTTTTTACTTGTAATGAAGAAGTCTTCTGTTTGGAAATACTTTGGTTATCTTTTGCCAGGAGAAAAGCCAGGTTGGACTCCTGAAGGACTGGTTGTATAAAAAAGCCAAAGTTAATTTCCCTACTTTCACAGATGGCTGGACTATATAATGAGCTCAAGGTATAGGAGGATTAATTTGAGTTAGCATTAAGAAAAACTTGTTTAAGATAATATAGATCAGCCTCAGTTATGGATGTTCTCAGACAGAAGACAGGGAAACATCTTCCCTGAATTTTCTACATCATCTAAAAGGCTGAATTAGATGATCTACATCACAGTTTTTCAAGCTTCTTTGAACCCTAGCTCTGGGAAAATATGCACACACAATATCTGTGTCTATATGCATCACCATGTTTTCTATTGGATTTAAAAGGCCATGTAGTCAAATTGCTAGCAGGTTTTGAACACCAAACTCTGTATGACATTAAACTTAAAAGAAAGTGTCGATATTTGGGGATGTGGAATCATTTCTGACTACTGGTGTTGTCTGCAGAATTTGATTTAAATCTAGACATTTCAATGTTTGACAGACTTCTTTCTGATTCTGGTCTCTCTAAAAATGATTACAGGAATGAGTAACACAGTGAACCATATATTCTATAATCGATTTATCTTTCATTCATTGGCTGGCTCACCAATTGTCCCACCCGCCTCTAAGAGTCCTATCTAAACCTTAAAGTCTTAAAGCTGTCAAGTTTGAACACCCCTGGGGTTTTTTTCTAAAGGGTTAGGGGTGCAAGGGGCCTGTAACTTGGCCAGCTTAAGACTTGCACACTTCAATGCCAAAGTTCCGGAGCCAACATTTTGGTTTCTAAGCAAGAGAGTTGTTAAATGAGTTTCACCACATTTTACAAGTTAGCGATA